TTTTTAGGACCCTTGACTTGCTGGCACTACCAGAAGCTTGAGGCTCATCTCCTGTTATTTCCTGCCCAGTCCTAGAATCAGCCATTCCTCCAATGAGCCTGGCTGCCTTTATTGGAGAACGGTATTAAAAACCAAGAACTGGCTCATGGGTAGCAAATTATTTTTGGATGGGCAAATGAATAAACACTTATTTTGTGCTTCCTATGTGCCAGACATTAATTTTTTTTTTTTAAGATTTGAAAGGCAGTTGTGTGTGTGTGGGGGGTGGAATTAAGATGCTTGTGTTAAAAGGTTTCTGGGGAAAACAAAACAAATTAAGATGCTTGTGTCCAGTACTGAAATGCTTGTCACCCACCTCTGGCTTTGAGTCCCGCATTCCTGCTACTGCTGACCCTGGGAGGCAGCAGTGAGGCTCAGGGAATTGGGTTCCTGTCTCCCATGCGAGACCTGCACTGAGCTCCAGGCCCCCAGCTTTCTCTTGCGCTCAGTTCAGGCCATCACAGGCTTTCTAGGGAGTGAACCAGGGGATGGGAGATTGCTCTTTCTCTCTGCCTCTCAGGTAAACAAAACATACCTCTCAAGTAACTAATGTAGTTAATCATAGTAGCTGTCAGGTAATTAGAATATTGAATACAACATCCTACTTCCCATGTTTTTCAGAGGGGACTTGGATATACTACCTGTTTACAAATTCTCTGGGTTTGTGGAGTGGGGATGGGTGGTTATGGCTGAGGCAGAGACACTCATATGTGCAGGAAAGTTTTCTGTGTGCTGGCTTGGGTCCTGGGACTCGTAAGAAGGCCACATGGTGGATCTCCTCACTCTAGAGAATCGAGACTCCAGCAGGCCTCGCTTCCTGATGGTCACGACTCATCTTTCTTAGGCTTCCCTTCTCTTCTGGTAAAAACTAGAACCCACAGGGCCTTGCCTGTCTCGCTAGTCTCCACTGAGGCTCAATGCTTCGACCACTTTGGTCTTAAATTTCTCCTGCCACAGGGCCTTTAGACAGGATACTCCTCCCGATGGGCACATCCACTTCATCCGAGCCACCTGGCCAAACCCTACTCGTCTTCCAGCACTTCCCTAGCCCGTCACCCGGGTCTGGCTCTCTTCGTGTAATCTCTCACAGCATCTGGTACTTCTAGCTATGTGAAAAGGGCAGTGGAAAAAGTCTGTCATTCCTGGGCCGTCTGTCTCCCTGGCTCTAAGGCAGCAGGGACTTGTGTGGGTTTTGTTCACTGCTGAATCCCCAGCACTTAGCTCACAGTTAACACCAAGTAAATATTTGTAAACTGCGTAGAAGAATTATAGCTACCAGCTTTAGAGGAAACAAACACCAAGTCTCTGGGCGTGGACTAGACCTGCTGGGTGTGGAGGGCCTGCTCAGACAGAGAAAGCTGCAACAGCCTGGCAAGGCGGTTAGCAAGCCAGGGCAGAACTTCATATACCTACATACACTGTGGTTTTTTTTTCTTTTCCTACAATTTTTAAAGGATAAGGAAATGTTTAGGGTAAAATTATGATTTTTATGAGCAACAAAACATAACCCATTTTTAATGGTGCTCAAATCACAATGGATCAGACCGATCTCGGCTGCAAGCACCGAGCGCCAGAGAAGCACACTGGTGTGGTACACAGGGTGCCTTGCTGCCCGCCCAGCCTCTACACCTCACTCTCAGCTGCAGCCCCTTCCTTTTCTTCTTTGCAAGTGGCTTGGCATCTCTCGCTGATTCCTAAGAACAGTCTATGCCGAAGCCGGCCCCAGCACCTGGGCCTCTTGGAACGCTCAGAATTGCTAAGAGGAAGCACCCAGGGCGCTGCTCTCGGGCCCTCCTGTGCAGGCTCTTACAGGAGTCAGGCTTCGGAGCCATCCTTTTCCCAGCGATCACCTCTCTCCTGGGAGACTCCACAAGGCAAGGATTTCGGAAATCCAGTGTATTTCACCGTCACCAAGAACCCCCGCCTGCAGTTCCCACGAATGTGACAACAATACTAATCCTATGCTGGCAAGCTCTGCTTCATTCGTCTTCAAAACACAAAAGTTTGCAATCGCCTTGAGGACCGCTGAGGGTTCTGGGCTCTTCCTTCCCCTCTTCCACCCCTGCTAAGGCTGCATCCCCCCGGCGGGCTCAGGCCGGTGGGCGAGGCGGCGGGTCCCTGGGGGCGCTCCAGGAAACTCTGGGGCGTGATTCAAAAAAACCACCCCAGGAATGTTGTTTCCCAAAAGCAGGTGTGGCCTTCACAAGGCGAGGCTGCCTCTAGCCTCCGGCTGGGACACGACTTTTCTCTCTACACGTATCCCACGGCGAGGGACCTGCCGCCGCCGCCTCCCGCGGGCGGCTGAGGAGCCGCAGGCGGCGCAACGAGCCACTGCCGGCTCCCACCACACCCGCCACGCCCGCCGGCCGCGCCGCGCCGCGCCGTGGCCAACGCCTCCGCCGCGGCCCGCCTCCCGGAGCCACCCGGCTCGTGACTGGCTGATGCCGCTGTCCGTCACGAGAGGAGGGTGCGTCACCGCCGGGCCGGCGTTCCCATTGGTCGTGGCGGCGGCGGCCACGCGCGCGGTGCCGGCGAGGAGGGGAAGCCGGTGGCCGCGGCGGCGGAACGGGCGGAGGCAGCCGGTTTCGTAACCGTCGCTCCTCCTCGTTGACTCGCGGGCAGCTAGGCCTGGGTCGGGTCGGGTCGGGCCGCGCGGGGCCGCTCGTAGTGGAGGCCGCCTGGGGGCGGGCGGGCTGGAGGCGCAGGTAAGGAGGCCGCGGACTGGAGGTCGGGCGGGCGCGCCGAGAGGCGGAGGTGGAGGCCGCGGCGGCGCCGGCGGCTCGCGTCTGCGCAGGGCCCGGCCCGAGGAGACCCGAGGCGGGCGGGCGGCCGGGAAGGCCCAGCGCGGCTCCAGGCGCGGGCGGCGGCCCCGTGCGGCGTCTGATGCAACCTGCCGGCAACACCCGGCGGGGGCGCTGAGCTCATCCCTGGCGGCGGCCCAGCGCCGCGGCGCCGCCCGCCGACCCCCGCGCTCCCGGCGCGGCCGGAGAGGGATGGGGGACGCGGTGTGCCCCCTCCCGGACCGGGCCCTGTTTGTGAACCGCGCTGAGTGTGTGTGTGTGAGACCAGCCCGGCGCGCATTGGCCCCTGGGGATGCGGGGTGTTCCCGCAGCGGCGGAAGGCGGACCGTGTCCTGCCTGCGTTCCGCATAGGATGTTTGCTGCCCTGTAATCGGCTCGGGCCGGGGTGGCGTTGGACAAGTGTTGGAGAAGTTCCTGGAGTGGGGAAGTAGGGAAGACAGCTGGCTTTTAAATGCGTAACTGCACGGAAAGGTGGTTTGCCGGTGCACGGGCATGTCGGCCTGCACTTGCCGGTTGGACGAGGCTTGGAGGAGCAGGGCAAGGTTAGCGCGGCCGCAGGGAGCCCCGGGCCAGCAGCCCGCCGAGGTGCGTGTCGTCCGGGGAGGGTGCGAGGGGCCGGGGGCTCTGCCCTTCCGAGGAAGCCGTGCGCTGGTTCCCTGGAGGAGGCCGTGTCTTGCCCGGCGTCGGTTTTGGAAGGGGTGTAACAGCTCCGCACCTGGGAGCCGCTCGCTCTCAGCGGCGTTCTTCGAGTGGGTCATCATTCGGAGCAGAGCTGCCTCTCCCGAGAAAGGTGACTCCCAAAGAAAAGTTTGAAACCCGATCCTGTAAGGACTTGCTTTCGGTGTCTGAAAGTTCTTGATGGTTTAGGATCCGGTCAGTGGTGTTTGGGGTAGGCTGTTCCTCGGGTTGTTTCTGGAAAACCTGAAAACCAAGGCTGAATAATTCCAGGATACTAGGGGATATTCCAGTTTTTTGATTCCCCGTTTCCGGTGGGCATGCGTGGCTGGTTCAATTATTTTTACTACCTGTCTTAAACAAATAGGGGGAAACAGGACTTCATGTCTTCAAGAGCCCATCTCTGAATCTCAGGAGCCCATCCAGACTATCAGCTCTGTGATGGGGGGGGGGGCGGTGGTCTCCTCCCGGGGGCCTTAGGCGGCACCTGGGAAGCCTCTGGGAGCGGCAGCTCGCACTCCCGGCGCTTGGGTTTGGTCTGGTGGTCCCGGATTGCCTGACCCGGTCACAGAACCAGTGGGAAGCACAGGTAGCCACAACTCCAGGCTTGTCGTCTGGCAGTGTTCCGGGAGGGTGGTCCAAACACGGAGAGGTGACAGTGGTCTCCTGCCTTTATGGCTTTCTAGCTCTGTCAGTAAAAGAAGAAGCAAAAACTGAACACACACTGTAGTAGATGTGTATTTACAAACAGTTTGTTTTGTGTGTTGTAAATCAGACCAAACGTGGATGGGAAAGGTGACGTTTAAAAAGACAAAACAAACACGAGTTCTCCTTCTGGTGTACTCCCTGAAGAGGGGGCTGTCCCTCCCTCAGGGCCCCTGCAGCCGGTGCTGGGCCTGCCTTTAGCTTTGTCTGCAGTGGTGCACCCTGTGGAGCTGGGATTGACAAGAAGCGGGGGAGCAAACTGGACAGAAGCGCCGCGATAAGAGAAGGTGGGCAGTGTTCAGGAGCCAGTGGTGGTCTAGTGCTGCCGAGACGTGCCGTGGAAGGGAGCCAGGGCTGGAGAGGGGCTCGGGACCTGGGGTCGGACCTGCGGACTGGAGGAGGAGGGTGTGACACACTCAGGTTTGATTGCTAGGTTGCTCTCGCCACAGCAGTTGGGGGAGCTAAGCCTGAGAGATGATGTCAGGCTGACGTAATTTAGGTGGCACTGGGATGGAGGAGAATGAGGGTAGGAGATTCTTGTTGTTACTGTGTTTGTTTGTTTGTTTTTAGGTAGAATTGTCAGGTTTAGTGATTTGAGCTGAGTTGGAGAAGGGAGAAGCATTCAGGAATACTTTGAAGCGTTGGCCTTCACTGGGAAATGGAGTGAAAAGTTTGTTTTAAGGAGCCAGCGGAGAAACATCATTCTAACTGTAGGGGGGGGGTGTGGGACAGAGGGTTTTTGGGAAAATTCTTTTTTTTTAAAGATCTTATTATTTATTTGAGAGGTATAGACAGCGAGAAGGAGAGACAGAAAGGTCTTCCATCCAGGAAAATTCTTGATGATGATGATGATGGTGGTGGTGGTGGTGATGATGATGGTGGTGGTGGTGGTGGTGGTCCGGCTTTGCGACCTGCTGCTCCTGAGCTTCCCTGCTGCTGCTTCCTCCTGGAGTGACTCATTAGCAGGAAGCAAGGCGCCACCCTGCTTCCCCTGAACTTTGGAATTGGGTTTGTCCACAGAGGAGCCACGCTTGCATTTAGGGTTGAGTGTCCAGGTTTGGAGTACATTTTTTGCCTGTTATAGGTGCTCAGTGAATGCTTGAGGAAGGAACAGAAGCGTAAATGACTTTACATTGACGTTGTTCATCATAAAAAGAAATGCGTAATCTTTATGAAGCTTGACTTGTTTTTCAAGTTGAACTTCTAAAGCATTGTTGGAGATGTTTTTATTATCTGCAATTTTTCTTACATTTTTATCAATTTGCAGGGTCAATGAATACTTTTGTTTTTCCAAAGGGTTTACCTTCTTTTTGTCCCCCCCCCCTTTTTTTTTAAAAATATTTATTTGAAAGGCAAGAGTTAGAGGGAGAGGCAGAGAGAGGGAGAGAGAATATCGATCTTCCATTCACTGGTTCACTCCCCACATGGCTGCAACAGCAATAGCCGTTTGGGCCAGGACAAAGCCAGGAGGCTGAAACTCCATTTGGGTCTCCACATGGGTGCGGGGGCCCAAGTACTTGGACCATCCTCCACTGCTTTCCCAGGCTGTTAGCAGAAGTGGAGCAGCCGGGTCTCAAACCAGTGCCCATATGGATTGCTGGTGCTGCAGCGCCGGCCCCCAAACGGTTTACTTTCAAAACCTCACCTACTGTGTTGTTCAGCCTTGCGAGATGAGTCAGACTGAGGTAAGCCCTTCCCATCCCTAGATGTGTGAGTACAGAAGGGGCATGGACATCTGAATCTGGGGCCTGGAACGGGTGGGAGTTCTGAGTGACTGAAATTCACGATGCACAGCCAGGCAGCAGGCGGCTACCCATTCCTCATCTCTCATTTGCAGATGCGGAGGCACAGCCCACAGAAGGAACTGGAGCCAGAGCTAAGACGAGAATCGACCTGGTTCCTACTCTGTGCTGCTGTCTCAGCTGGGCCACGTTGACTGTAGAGATTAGTTTTAAAGATCAAAAACTGTAAATGGTGTATGGAAGTTTAAAGTAGATAAATAAGGTGAACACATTCGTGAATGGTAACAGTCACAAGAGAGGTGTTGAGTTCAGCAGGGTTTTTTTTCTTTAAGATTTATTTATTTGAGAGGCAGAGTTACAGACATAGGAAGAGAGGGACTGGGAGCGGTCTTCCATCCTCTGGTTTACTCCCCAGTTGGCCGCAACGGCTGGAGCTGGGCTGATCCGAAGCCAGGAGCAATGAGCTGCTTCCGGGCCTCCCACATGGGTGCAGGGCCCAAGCACTTGGGTCATCTTACACTGCTTTCCCAGGCCATCAGCAGGGAGCTGGGTTGGAAATAGAGCAGCCAAGACATGAATTGGCGCCCATATGGGATGCTGGTCCAACCTGAGGCTTAACCTATTCCACAGTGCTGGCCCCCAGCAGGTTCTTGAAAATTGGGTAGAATATGTGTCAGATAGCAATAAGGGTAACTCAAATTAATACTGAACAGCCACTTTGGAAGATAAATTGGGCAACATAAAAATTATCAAGGGAAATTGTGCAATATTCATTACTGAAGGTTGACTTGGAGTGGATCTCCATCGTGGTTTAGAAGGAAGCTTTCTGTCTCTTGGTACTGGAGTGAGAACAGGTGTCTGCTTGCTCAGGGCTGGCTGTGTGGCTTTTAAAATAATGAAAAGTGATGATATACAGACTTTGTAAAGCAAAGACTGGAAGCAAAGACAGTGTTACAGAGAAACGGCTGGCTAAAGGTTTGGGGGAAGGTACACTGTGGGGTGTCCTCATTTGGAGCATTTCATAATTCTGACCACATTTTTTCCACTGATGGAGTTGTAGCAGTTCTGTGAGGAGAGAGCCAGCTAGTTTTGTGGTTGATAATCCTGCTTTAGATTTCCAGGAGTCAGTGGAGTTCCTGGTGGAGGCAGCTCAGCTTAGTCAGTGTGTCTTGAAGTGGCCTCATGACTCGGGTGGTTTTGCTTTCACACCTCTTCAGGCGGCTAGAGGGACTCAGCTGGATTCACAGCAGTGCGGACAGGAGTAGTTTTGAATCTCTCTGGGCAGCATCATAGCAGTGCCGCAGCACCGGCATGTCCTGTGGGCACATCTGGCAGTGCGATGGGGGTGCAGTGGTGGCTGCTCTGTGCTGTCCAGCTTGAGTCCCAGTATGTGCACTTCCCTGGTTGCGTCATTGACTTCTGTTTCTTTCCTGTGGTTTCAGTTCAGGTGTGTGTAGATGTTTTGTTAATTATATTAAGAACGATAAACCACTACTACAAGCATAGTGGGGTGGGGGAGCACATTTGGTGTCTCATTGCTTCTAAATCCAAGAAACAGTACGTTTTGGAAAACTTTTGAGAGCACTGGAAAAAAAAAAACAAGCAAAAGAAAACACACACACAAACACCCCCCTTTTCAAAATAACCCATAGAGATGGCGTTGGGAGAAAGGCAAAGTCTTTTGTGACTCCCCGTCTACCTGATCGAAGAAGGAACACGCAGGGGACAGCATCACAGCCCTCGGGGATGCTGGGGAGGGGCCCTCCCTGCCAGCATTCTCTTCTGGCACGAGCCAACAGTCGAGACTTCTGCCCTGTTCTGTCGTGGTGTCTCAGCCACCATAATTGAGCTTTTCCACGTTTAACCCGAATATCTTACATTCTCCCTGGCATATCATTCCGGGTGCTGTCAGTTCATGTGTGTCACCTAATTGGTGGTTTCCCTCCCATTTTGATAGCAATCACAGATGGGCAGGACCCTTGGAGATTCAGAAAGGCTGGGTTTAGCCTCTTGTGCCTGTTTCTGAGTTAAATGATTCAGGCCCCTGAAGAACTGCCACGGTTGGCAGCTGCTGTAGCCTTTTCTCAGCTCACTCCATTACTGTCCTGCTGTATGGGGAACATGCAAGTTTAATCTCATTTGATGCTGTCATGGAAAATATTTTAATGCAGTTTGTTTTCTTCAGTAGGTACATGTGAAGATTTTTTTGGCAGTTTGTTGTGGAAACCTCTGATCACCTTGCCCTCCTTTCTGCTTGTTCTGTGTTGGCAAGGGAGAGTGGCCAAATGAGCAAGATTTCGCAGCAGAACAGTGCTCCGGGAGTGAACGGAATAAGTGTTATCCACACACAGGCACATGCCAGCGGTGTGCAGCAGGTTCCTCAGCTGGTGCCTGCTGGCCCTGGGGGAGGAGGCAAGGCTGTGCCTCCCAGCAAGCAGAGCAAAAAGAGCTCACCCATGGATCGAAATAGTGACGAGTATCGTCAGCGCAGAGAGAGGAATAACATGGCTGTGAAAAAGAGCCGCTTGAAAAGCAAGCAGAAGGCACAAGACACACTGCAACGAGTGAATCAGCTCAAAGAGGAGAATGAACGATTGGAAGCAAAAATTAAATTGCTGACTAAGGAATTAAGTGTACTCAAAGATTTGTTCCTTGAGCATGCGCACAACCTTGCAGACAACGTGCAGCCCATTAGCACTGAAAGCACAACAACGAATTCTGACAACGCAGGACAGTAGAGCCCGTCCTTTCCAGACCTCACAGCTGTGGCTGAATGTCAGAGTGTGACTGCCTGCACCACTCATGTCAGTGGCTGAACGTTGTCTTGTTCCATTCGTCAGAGATCCATTGGAGCTTATTTTCTTGAATCGGCACTGAAGAGTTGATTAGCAAAAAAACAAAACAGAAAAAAAAAAGGTAGCCATGTAATTAGAATATCTAGTTTTAAATGATATGAATTTTTGTGGGGATTAAAAGCCAAACATTTGTAAGGTATATGGTAAAAAAAAAAAAAAAAAAACAAAACTTGAACCTTGATGTTGTTAATAAATCCTGACTTCCTAGGAAATGCTTCTTTTTTAGGTTGACAGAAGGAATGGGACGCTGGCAGGTCACGCAGAAGGGTCTTGGTTTTCATGGAAATGGTGAATTGGATGAAGAAAAGTTGAATGCCATCCGTGTTAATCTGTGATTTTATTCCTAGTTGTGTATTAGAAATCTGCAGTTCCAGAAACCAATCACTGTGTAATTTGGATCAATTTTAGGAATCACATAAATCTTGTTTTAGCATAATTAGTAGTGTTTTCCCCAGTAAGCACAAGTGTTTGAATAGTGATGACAGGTTAAGTAAAGAAACCTGTCACATCTTAAAGGCAATATGCAACTAATTGGTTTCTAAGTACAAGTAACATTTAGGAAGCAAATTGATTTGAGAAAAAGTAAAATTTAAACATGTTAGAATTGCGCTTTTGGAATACTTTTGGATTATTGGATTGGCATTATTTTGCGTCCTTAAAGAACCAGGTGGCTTTAGAGAAGTTTGTGTTATCAAAATGTTAGTTTCCACAGATGCTAGTAAAAGTAAGCATTTTGGAGGAGGGGATTTTGACAGCCAAGTTAGTAAACACGATGCCCAGCAGGTGACGCACACTGCTGATTACAGTTTGGAATAATCCACAGGTGGTTTGTCCCGCGTGCAAACCAGCTGCCACAACCGCGATCTCTAAAGTTGAAATTGCTTGTGAAGGGTTGTTTTGGTATTTGATCTTAACTAAGTGATGATGAGAAAAATACATCAACTCCATGCCACTTCCCAAAATTGTAGTCTAAGAAAACTTGAAAATGTAATGTTTTGACCTTTAATTTATTTCACATAAATACATCTTTTTATATTATTTTTGTGACATTTCTTTCTCTAATTAGTGGGCTGCTTTTCTAGACTTTATGTATCACTGCTCTGGTTTATTCATTGGTATGCTTTCATGTCTCATAAGTTATTTTAGAAAGAAAATGCCGATAAAACTCAGGATATTCACATTTTTGTTGACTAAAAAATGGCAATCAGTAAAGTAGGGCATTTCTAGAATCTGACATATCATTGTTGCTTGTTTAGATCGTCTTTGTTAATGTTCTGTTTCTTTTTCTTTCTTTTTTTAGCACAATTCTAGTTAGAATTTGTTGGCTTTTGCATAGTTCTTTGTGCCTAGCTGATGATGAGAGACATGTGTCATATCTGATCTTAAAAAGTTTATGTTGCCAGGTATCTCCTTTGAACACGGTCGCTTCTGGCCACACTGCTGTTTCCTAGTAGGACTTGGGATAGTGTGACCAGAACTGAACCCAGGTTGCACCCCTGGTTGGCGGAAGGGTGCTGACCTCTGCTGTTTCCTGGGCAGGAGAAGACACCATAGCGCCCTGACGCTTAGGGCAGAAGCACGAGGCCCTTCTGCACAGACAGGAGCCCACTGTCCTGTGACTACCGTCCAGGAAGGCTGTTCATTCCCTACGGAGCCAGAAAACAGAATGGGGGTTCTTGTTAGGGTCCAACACCTTTACTTTGGAATTTTAACCTCGTAGAAAGGTTGATGTGAAAAACTAAGACATATGGAGTCCTTCTGAATCTTTAGCTGATTGATGTTTATAATGAACTTAATTGGAGATGCAGTTGGGGCACTTGAATCTTTAAGCACCTCTAACAGGTATTTTAATTCTTTATTTACTTAAAAAAAAAACAAAAAACAAAAAACAAAAACCTTTCAGAAATTGATGTCCCCATGGAGTTTGGTCACCAGTTACACGGATTAGCTGTCCTGAAGAAAGAAGCTTCGGGAAAAGGCTATTCAAGCTTTCCTGTCAACTGCAGATCCAAACTATAGCATAAGCAAACAGTGACGACCATGCCTGGGACAGACATGCTAACCACTGTCTTCAGTGTCTTACCTAAGTGGTCGAGAGCAAATGTTTTCTGTTGATGGTTTAAATGCAAGGAAACCAAGTATGGGGAGTGAGTGTAGAGCTCTGGAACTGTAAAGTGACTTTTGTAACTTTTATTCTGTGTGTTCCCTACGAACCATTAAAGATTTGATCTGCCTCGTGGACGGATCTGGTGATTTAGAAACTAGGCTTTGGTATGGATTTGTGGCTGCCTCTGAGTCTGCGAGGATGGGTGCTTTCTGACTGGCGTTGGCTGCAGAGGGTGGGATCCGGGCAGCCCCTCTTGCTGCCTGGCCTCTCACTCACTGGGACGCCAGCTCAGATACTTTGGACATTCTTACTGAGAAGTACTAAGACTTTAATAAACTAGGACCAGGAATTCAGGTCATGAGTGTGAAATTCTGCAGCTTACATAAAAATGTAGAAGTATGTGTAAATTTAACACTTAATATTAAAAAGAAGGAAATTGTAGCAGCTTTTGATGTTTCTTAATCCCCATTAGAGGGCTTGAAACTCGGAATCTGGAAAGCCCACCTAGCACTCAGTGCTTTTTGTTGCCTTAGACGTAGGAGGAAAACTGTGGCGAAAGCCAGGAGGGAGAAGCCGTTCTGCAGCAGTGAGATCTGCCTCTCAGGAAGAAGTCACTAACTTGTTCTTTCTGTTCCTGGCTTTCCTCAGTTTGTGAGATTACTCTATTTTTTTAAAATATAATTTTATTTCTTTCAATGAATTTAAAATAAAAAACAACTTTGGAAGGACGACTGCATTTCATTGTGGGTTTCTTTTTATTGGATACCAGAAAGGCACAGTGAGACCAGCCTGGGGGAGGGGTGCGGCGGGGCGGGCAGTGAGGGGAGGAGCTGAGCTGCTCCTGTCGCAGTCTGGATTTTCTGTAGTAGGCAGGGGAATGGTTTTCTTTGACTTGAATGCATCTTTAGTTGTATTTTTAGACACTGGGTCTAACCTAAAACTGTATCCTAGCGAGTAATAAAACGATTTCCTGTTTGATCACCTCATGTCTTACGTGGTTTCCATTTACAGAGAGGGAGGAGGTTGTTAATGTTTCCAGGAAGGCAGTCAAGAAAGTAAAGTAAGGCCTTTCCCCTCCCGACACAGCTTTATAGAATATATATCAGCTTTATTTACCTGATGCCATACAGCGTCTGGGGATGAATTTGCCGACGACTGGAATTGAATGTTTCAAGGGAAGTTGCCATTTGGAGACTTCTTCCATGACCTTTCAATTATTTTCATGTCTTGGGAAATAAATTTCTACTTGTTGCATCGCAATGAAAATCATAGTACAGTAATTATTTCTATGGGTAGGATGTCCCGTGTCATTTTTATAAGTTAATTGCAATTCAGAATCCAGTAACTTGTCTTGAGGAATTTTATAGAGATGCTTTCTTTGTGAAGGTGCCAGGTCTTTTTAAGTACAGCACTCTTAGGCTGTGCCCGTCTGGGTCCTGGGCATATCTGTAGCACTCATCAGCATCTTACGTACACTTCAAAGAAGAAGGCCACTCCCTGGAGGCTGTCCTGCTGCCACAGCATCCTCAGGCCTCCCAGAGGCACCGGGAGCTCTGGGGCTGTACCACTGGCTCTGGACAAGGCAGTCACACCTTGCACCAGGTCCTGTTAGAGCAGGATGCCTCTCCGTGTCGTCACCAGGGTTGAGCCTGCCTCACCTCCCCTGGCCCCGGCCTCTGTGGGGCCTCCCACCCTCCCCTGGCCCGAGTGGTGGTTGGCTAGCTGCGTGCTGCCCACTGCGCCCAGGGTGAGACCAGTCTCCTCAGGATGTGGCTGCCTTTCCTCCATCCCGTCCCCTCCTGCGTTGCTGTGGCCCAGGGCTTTCCCAAGCTTTCATGAACGTACCTCCTTCCTGAGACAGCTGTCTGGGATGTGCATCGCTTGCTTCCCACTCACCACCCTTCCTCTCCCAGCCCCGCAGCTCGCGTTACTTTCTTCATGGTGCTTCTCATGCTGTTCGCGACGGAACACTTTTGTGGGTGTTTATTGAAGCTGAGGTCTCCTTGGGGACCTCTGAGAGCAGGGGCCATGTTTTCATCCTGCACTGGCACGGAGTAGGCACTCAGTTACTCTCTCATGGCCTCCAGAGGTGGAAAGCTCTGTACAGCTTTCTGGAAGGGTCTCATCAATTTTTGAAGCTGTAGAAATTTCTGCAGATATTGGAGGAGACTTGTTTTCATCCTCAGGAATGCAGAGTAGAGTAGGTAGCTATGGCCAGGCATCTGGGAACCGCGCTGTCAGAGAAAACACCCTTTGGCCCACTGGGCTGGGCTAAATGAGCTGCGTCTTTGTCCCCAGTGTCTCCCCTGGACAGAGTTTACTGAGATTTCCAGTTGCTGTGTTTGGTCTGTGTGGAATGGACCAATTGGTTTGGGTATGTCTGATGGGGAAGAGGGAGAAAGATGCAAGATGCCTTCAGCTATGTGTCTTAGTTACAAAAACTGTGTTTTAGTTACAAAAACTGCCCAGAGTTCCATGCTCACTGCCACTGGTTCTGTCCTGGAGGTGGGGGAACTGAAACCCCCCTACGCGGGAACATGTCTGTCACAGGGCAGTGGGGGCGGGCGAGGGCTTGGGGAACTCACTTTTCTGACAGTCGGAAGGGCTGTTGCCACACTGCTCAGTGTCAGAGGTGGGTGACCGAGGCAGAAAACCTTCTAGAATGAATGTTATACATTTAAGAAGCAGCCAAGGTAAATGGTGATCTGGAAGCAAGGCCGTGGCACGCTGACGTTACTGGCACAGGAAGCCATCTACTGAGCTCCTCGGTCTCAGTCAGGCTTAGCGTCGGGAGTTCCCCACCCCATCATGGTTCCGCCTGATGTACGTCCTCTCGCACTTCACCCAGGCTCAGGGCACTGTGAAGACAGACCTGGAAGGGGGTACGGAATTCTGGGAGCCGGCTCCCAGATGGGGCAGTTCTGTGGGAAGGTAAGGGCAGGTACGCCGCTGTCGGAGGACCAGGCACAGTGGGCCCCGCGTGGGCACCTTAGCACACCAGGGAACGAGCAGGCTGTCCTTGGCCATGGCGCTGTGGCAGGCAGCAGGGTCTCCGGCAGGTGTTGGCTTTGCAGTACATCCTCTGTGCACGGGACATCAGTGCTGTGTAATTCTGCCCCTTAATCTCTCTTTGTGGCAGCACCCACATCAAAGGCCTTTTTACGTTACCACGCTGCCTTTGGGCCTGTGCAGAGGCATGGTGTGGGCGAAGTCCATCAGCTGGATCCACTGAGGGCCCAGGGTCTCCACCCCACACCCGTCTGCCCTGCTACTGAGAGGTTGAAGCTTGGTACGTGAGGGTAGTTCGCAAAACCTGAACCTTAGGAGCCCTGCCCCCACCCCCGGGGGAGGGCAGGGAGATGCCTGTTAAATTAACAGCCCCGGCATCACCCCTAGTGACTGCGATTCGGAAGCCCTGGCTGCACATGGGCTCTGGGAATCTGACCTAGGGCTCTGTGCTTCTGGTGCATGTGAGGCTTCGGAAGTCTTGCAAGAAGTGACAGAGTGACACTGCAGCCCGGCAGAGACCCCGGGACTCAGAGAGGCTCCTGGAGCAGCCAGGCCGGTCCAAGGCAGAAACAGGTGCAAGGGCCTGTGCCGCCACCACTAGTGCTCGGAGGCCACGGGCCCCGGGTACTTGAGTGCAAAGGGCTGACAGCAAAGATGGCAACATGCACAGAGGACCGTGCTGGGATACATTTTATTGCAAATTCCATTCTGCACAGTGATTTTTAAGAGGAAACCCCGGAAAGGCATCTTTCCTGAGAAACGGAGCGCAGACGGCAGCGAGACAGATTTCAGCTGCTACTGCAGAACAGGATGATTATCAGGCAGCACTTACGTCCCCGTCTTGAAGCGAAGTGCCTATCGTCTTGCAGAAGGTTAGTATGAAAGGTTTGCTTGCCTAGGAATCAGCAATCACTATTTGATAGGATCAGATACCCGTGTGGGACATCAGAGCACCATCTCGCCTGCTGGGGGGCTAATCAGCAGGCTCCCCGCCGCGCAGAGCCATGGCCAGGCCCCAGTCCCGCTGGGCATGCCGGGCGGGCTCTACTTGGGGCTAGAGAAGGGGGTAAAGGCCTTGTCTGAGCCTGACATGCAAGCTTCGATTTCCTCCACGGTGCGCGGCACGCAGGTGAGCAGCTCCATGCCCGTGTCAGTCACCGCGACATCCTCCTCGATACGGACCTGGGTCAGATGGACAGAGGCTCGTGACTGGAGCCGGTGAGAGGGCTGACCTGCGTCAGGCTGAGCCCGCTGCTGCCTGGGCGCTCTGAGCGCCCGGGATGGAAGGGGCTGGCCTCCAAGACTGCAGGCCAGCCGCTCATGGCACCTCCTCATCCTGTCCTTGTCAGGGGCACTGGAGCTCCTGGGGAGGCACCTTCCCACTCAGGAGTGCGGCACCTGTCTGGGCCCTTCCCAAGTGAGGAAGTTGTCCTGGGACAAGCAGCTGCAGTGGGGCAGTGGACACGCCAGGGGCAGGAATGCAGGGCCCACGGGCACTCACCCCACCAAACCCGCGGAAGCGCTGCAGGACCTCGCGGTTAAAGAAGCAGGCACGGGCCGGGTCAGCCAGGGCCTCGTCCAGGAGGTGGTCGATGAAGTAGATGCCTGGCTCCACCGTGAGCACCATGCCTGGCGCCAGGTGCCGTGCAGTGCGCAGGCTGCGCAGGCCCGGCTCGTCGATGCGCTCCACGCCCTGTGGAGACAGGACACGCGAGGAGGACCCAACCCACAGCTGCAGGCTGGCCACTGTCTCATCGGGGCTCTCTGACCAAGGCAGGGTCTCCAGCCGAGATTCACTTCTGCTGACCTTTCCCTCTGCCGTGACCCTAGAGTTTGCGTGTCCCTGGCCCTGGACACCCTCAGAATTACCTTCAAGAGCCCAGGGACACCCACCATGTGCACACAGCCAGGACAAGCTGCCAGGGTAGGCCCATGGAGCTGGCTGGGTGTCCGGCTTCCGTCATTCAGGCCCCCCTCCTGGCCAGGGGAAGGGTAGCAGCCAAACCAGGGAGGCCAAAAAAGCTCTTAAGGAGGCTGTGAGGCCTCCGGGGGGCCGCATCTCCCCTTCCAGGCAGCTCAAGTGGAAACTGGCCCCTAAAGAGCTGGTCCTGGTTCCCCTAAGCCAAATCCCAGGTCTGCCCTGTGACCATCCAGGAAGAGGGGCTGGAGCTGTCAGCAGGATGGGATGCCGAGTACCCATGCGAGTGCACATGCACCTCCCTGTGCCTGGCCTGGAGGAACAGTGGCAGCCACTCCCTGCAGAGACTTTGTTCCTGCCCCCGTGCCCCATCCCTAGCCCCAGTGCACACCCAGCACTGGGCCTGTCCACTCACACACAGGCGAAGTGGGGCCTGGGGCAGGTGGTGCCCAGGACACTGGCACAAGTATCCTTGCCTTCCTCAGATCCCTGGGGCAACCAGCTGGCCTGTGGCCAGGGCCTCTGAGCGAGTGGGCAGCCAGCGAGCTTTTGGTCAGGATCTGAGCCGGCCCCGCTTGCGGCTCCCCCCAGGAAGCCCAGCTGCTGGAGATGGAGCTGTCATTTCTGACTGTTTGGGGGCCAAGAACATCAGACTTCAATTAGTGGTTCACGTAAGGTAACCAGAACCAGGCTGGCCCAGCCTCCAAGGCAGGGCACAGCAGGGAAGGCTGTCACTGCGATTCTGTTAGGGTGGGGACAGCCGCTGTGACCAGCAGCGAGCAGGCTGGGCCATGAGGGGACACCCAGGCACCACGAGGCTGGCTGGGTCATGCTCTGGGCACCGAGCCTGCTGCCGTGGCCCCCGGCCCCACAGTACCCTCCTCTGGGCCGCTGACCTGGAGGCTGGGGGATGCTGGAAGGCAGCAGGGTCCTCCTCGGCTGGCGGGGGGCCCTGTCGCAGCTGAGGGTCTGGGGGTCTCTGCTCCAGCATTTTCCTGCTTCTGCCGCCTGAAGCCAGTGCCTGGCCCCTGGCACCACTCCCCTGCCGTATCCC